TTTAGGGGACCTGCTATGGCAAAGGCTCCACCTTGGATTCCATGGGTGGGGAGAATCAAACTAAAAGGCCAAGCGGCTCCCCAAACCCGCTTTCAGGGCAGGTCTCTAGAACTGACACCATACTAATCAGTGCAAGTGCCTGTATGGTAGATAAACGGTAAGGGCTTTTCGTTCAAGTCAAAGGCTAAGGGCCCTTTCACACTGAATGTAGTTGGCTGCATTTTGGCTTGTACTCCAACATCCAAGCTATAGTTCACACCATTGCAAGAGAGGAGGAAGGAGGAGGAGGAGGAGGGAGGAGGAGGAGAGGAGGAGGCCGCACAGGACAAATGCATATAGAAAAAAGTACGTCAACTGCATGTCAAAACGTACATCAAAAGCATGGGTACAAGTAAAAAAAACACAGTTACTTGCACACAGTGGGCTTTCCACACCCCAAAGATATCTCTGTAGCTCCACTGGACTTTCACTCCAGCACCATGAGCACAGTAGGCTCCTTTCTTTTCAGCCCATTGCCAGTAAAAGTAGCCTGTCCCTACAAGGAGGAGGACTAAACTCCTCAATGGAAAGTAATTTCCAGAATAGAGAATATAAAATTTTGGCGCAGAGGTTTCAGCCAAGATATATATGGGCAGCAAACTTTTATTGCTCGTCATTGTAGAACAGTTTCATCATAATGAAGAATTTATCACCATGTGACCATAAATTCTGCTGAGGTTTTAGGGTTAGTGTTAGGTGCTGCCTTGAGGTTAAAGTATATGTCATCCCGAACAAAGATCTCTGCTAACCAATTCAGCAGCAGAGCATACCCGCCAATTCCCAAGAACTAATAATCTAAGGAATACGGGTAGTCTGGATGGCTCCATAAATAGACCAGTGGACAATAATTAGCCTGGTGAGGATGGACGGACACATTTACATGAATTGGATTAGCACTTAGGAAGAGCTAATGTGCCATTGCAGATAATTGTTGTAGGGCTAACAGATCACTCATTGGGGTGGTTTATAAAAAGAAGCGAAGACATAAGGGCCACGACTCTGCAGTTAAGTGACAACAGGTGTCCGCCCTAAATAAGTCAACTGCTTTGGAGGGTGTGAACAGCTGAAAACAGCTTTTACTAGAGCAAAATAGTTGAATAAAAATTGTTATTTTGGGAACATATTGGTCATATCATACCAGTCTGTTGGACAATTGTTCACCCAACAGGAGCCTATGCAGCTTCTCTATATATCTGACTGGTCAGAGTGCTCAAGCTTTACTGTATCCTGGAGGTTTCTAAGAGTAACACTACAATTCTTGCAAAAAAAAAAAAAAAAAGTTAAAAAAATTCCATTTACGTATATATTCCTAACTCAAAAAACAAACTACAAGTATTGCTCTTTTCTAAATCCCCAAATTCTGTCTTCTACTGTGAATAGACTGTTAGAAATATGGCTACATTCTTCATAGTCCCACTGTATGAAAGAACATAGCCACCCACCTCTCTTGCTCCCTACAGACATTGACTATGGACTATAGAACATGGCATTTGTAATGTGCATGTAAGCAGGTGCTTCCAAAATGTTCTAAGGCCCCATGAACACAGGACACTTCAGAACGATGGAAACTGCTGGAAAACATAGGTTAAAAAAACCCCAAAAACATCTGTTTAGCCGCGTTTACGTTTAGAAGCGTTTTTTAAAGAGAAGCACAGGAGAACCAGTGATGTGCCCAAGAGCAGCGGCTCTCGGCACTGTCTTCCACCTCCCTAGACATACTGATAGCAGCAGAAGTCATTGCCTCCTATGTCAATGGATGCAGACAAGGCAGCTTTGGAGCGAGCCTGCATGAGTGCCCCCAGCTTTAAACGCTGCTGGTTTTCCCACTCTTTCAGAGAGTTACCACCTCTTCTACAGGTCATACTATATAAATATGGGGTCATTAGTGCCTGGCACTGAGCTTTCAGACATACTGTCAAGATGTAGCCATTATTCTGCCAGTTTGACCCAGTTATGGGAGCCCAATCACGGGGGGCTTAGAGAGAGTGTTGTACAGGACTGTTGTGAAGATGTTTTGGAATACTGTTCATTTGTTACCATCAACTTCAGTAATAGAGTTTTCTTGTTAATCTAAAATGCCTGGTCTAAGGTCTTTTAAGAGGTGCATGTAAGGCATACCAAAGAACAGGTTTTACAACAGGGGACTGGAAAGGTTAGACAAGAAACAGTACAGAAGTCTAACATATTTAGGTCACTTGCTAAACAGCAAACCAGCCAGGAGATGGGTGACCTGGCAGAGTTGACAGACCCTCTGGTAGTGAAGGGGTATTATGCTTGGCCCCTTCATTAGTGCCCAGTTCCCCACGTAGGCTAAGTTCACACCATCGCAGCTTTGCAAGCTGTGATATTCAAGGTACAGCAGCCCATTCATTTGAAAAGAGGTCCCTGCAGATGTTTTAGAAATCGCAGCCTGCACTAGAATCGCATGTTCAGTGCTGTTCCCAGTGAGAAAGCGATTTCC